AATAATAATTTTTAATTAACGATTTATTGAAAATTCTTCCCTAAGACTATTAAAGTTATTCTTCTTCTTTTAAATTTTTAATAAATAAACTGCCTTTGCGTTGCAGTATTTCGTTTCATCTTCTTATGTTTTTTTTTTTTTTTTTTTATTCTCTTTTTGTCATAAATAAACTATTGGAATATTGTTCAACTATTATTAAAATTAATGAAAAATAGAAAACGTTTATAATAATTTAACAGATTATTAAATTCATCATCAGCTGGTCATAGCTCAATATTTGTAGTAAATATTGTTTCTATAGTATTACCAGTTGCATTACTGCCAGCATAACCATTGCAATCTGTGGTTGACATCCATTCAAAGTCTTTGATAGTTGCCTAAAATCAAAATCAATTAACAATAAACAGTTAACTCTTAAGGTGATTGTGTAAATAATAATTCAACTCTCAAAGAGATATCACATAAGCAATTAACAGATGAAAGTTACCCTTTTCATATTTTTCATATAACTCGGTTGTTTTTCAAAATGACATGACTTGAAATCGTTATGTATTTATTCAACTTGAATAATTAACTGATTTAGTAAATAATTTTACTCTCAAAGTGATTTTTCGCATAAGCAATTAACGGACGAAATTGATGTATTCAGCAAATCTCTTTTAGATGGGCCGGCAATGAATGATTGGGTTTGTCTTAAAGCTTAAGACGCTTAGGTTGGGCGGAATTTTGTCCGCGAATGTTGTCTATTTGCCATATTGGTATATTGAATGCAGGAAAATGCACGCAATAAAATGCCATTTATATAAAATATCTGCATATTGTCTCGGTGCACCTTCTGTTTTTTAAGACATCACCTTGTATATTCTGCTCGTTTATAGCTTCCGGCGATCTTGTCAAATGTCAAATATCTTGTCGTCCAATTTACTGCATCTTCTTGTCCCGCGAAAAGGAAGTTCGTTTTGCGATTGATTTGAACCGATCTGATGTATGATCGCGGTCTTGTCAATTGCCTATCGGCACATGAGAGCGGAGAGCTTTTTGCATCCTATGTATCCCAGGTCCTATGTACATTTTTTACTTTTTTTTTTTTTTTTTATATATATTATGTTAGTGATCAATGAGTGTGTTTGCCATATATGTGAGAGGGCGATGGTTAGAAAGAAGTTGGGGGAGAGAGAGAGAGTGTGCCCATGACCCATTCTGTATTCTTGGTAAGAATAATTGTTGTTGAGTGAAGCAAAAAAGGATTCTCATCGCTATGGCAACCCAAGACCTTCAGAATACGTGTAAAGCGAGAAATATCTTAATGACGCAAACAAGAATAAGTTTGTCACATAGCCATAAGTATACTCATTACATACCATTTTGTTCAATCTACAAATCGAATGATATCAAATATCCTGTTGACTGTGGGACATCGTTTCCTCATTTGTTTCTATTCTTTTAATAGTTCATTTAACTTAATTTACTTACCTTATGCATTGAATAGACGGCTACAACAACTAAAACATGCATTATATTGTGTGAATTAAGATAGAAATCCACTAGACCGGGAAACCATTTTTCAGGGATACGCATAGCACCAATAGCACCACCTACCAAAGACACAGCGTCCTAAAGATAAAAGACAAAATGATAGATTATTAGATATTAATGCTGACTGTTAATGGAGAAATGCAGAGTATTTGCGGGCGAGACTTATTACCTAGTTTGGCTATAATATTGCGAAAGAAGAATTTGGATTGATTTTGCATTTGGCAACGATAATAGAAACGGATAATGTGCAATAGAAAATATTGAAATTTCATATTCATTTCAATTTCATATTCTCTTATCAATTCGAAAATGATTTTATTGTTATGCTTTTGCTCAACTTTTTTTATACGCTTTACAATTTATGCCACAAGGATATCTTAAGTTTGTGCGGACGTGAGATAGATCTACTTTTGATTACATCAATCGATTCAGAATCGCCATACTGACCGATTCAAGTTCGCTTGCTTGTCTTTTCGTCTGTTCCCCGATGTTTATCCACGCGTTTTTGGTTTCAACTATTTTCGCACTTCCTCCCCCACCTTAGGCTAGGCCTATGTGGATGATTAAATTAATACTCTGCCCTCTGTAGTGAGTGTATAGGAACAACAACAACAACATTTTTCAACTTTTAAAATTTTATTCTAGCTTTAGTTTTCGCCACTACTCTTACAAGCTTGATCTATAGATTTTAGTACACTTTCACTTTTTGCTAATCTTTGCGAGAAAACCTAAAAACTCAAAAGAGAAAATAAAGAAAAAGTGAATTATATATAATCTCTGTGTCGGATGTTGAAAACAGAAGAAAAAATTTATTTTACGCAATAGAAGCATAGCTTATGAAAAATTTGTTTCGCTTTAGTTGAGCTATCCTATGAAATTATCCTTTATTCAAAGCTATCTATCATTTGCTTACACACATATGTATATATATATATATATATATATATATATAATAAATACGTAAGCCACATATTATTCGTGTGCACTTAACGACATTATTGTGTGCATGAACCTACTTTCAGGTACTCATTCATATTCTTATCTACAATAGCTGTTATAAATAAAACGTATACGTACTCCCACAGACTTTTTTTTTGCGTATGTTTTCTTTTTAAATAATAAATATATGCAAAAAATATAAAAAGTCTTATGATTTGTACACTGAAACGGGGTTATATCCTATGTAAACGAATTGTTAAGATTTCATTAATATTACTTGTTTACACTTTTGTACGCAATAATCTTTATGCGAAACTTTAAAAATGAAAGAAAAAACTTTTGTCGCATAAAATAATTTTTTATAATTTCTATTTGCATTGGCAGTCCGGATGTTCCGGATAATATCCATCTTCACAATCATCACCATCATCATCATCATCATCATCATCATCATCATCATCATCATCACCATTATCCATGTCAATCCATGCTTTAGTCTGTCGGGAATGTTTTATGCGCTTTAATAAATCTACCACTAATTAAACTAATTCCTTAAGCACTTCCTGCGAAGAGAGCAAAAAGAGAAACCAGGAAAAAGAATTTTGGGATAATTAGTGCAGTGCATTTCTTAGATATCCTTCAATATTGATTGTTATAATTCAGGGAAACAACTTGGAATTTACAAACCATCATTATTGTCTTACACTAGAGCTTATATTACTGGAAAGGGGTTTGTTATTTACTTAGATTGGCTTTTTGGAAGACTGAATTTGGACAGGCATTTAGAATGTTAGAATTACTCTTAAACTCTTGCTGAGAAATGAAAAAAATGGCGTTCAGCTTTGATCGAATCTTACATATCCCCCCCGACGGAGCGAGTGATCGTAGTTGTTCTCAGTATATGTTTTACTCTGGACCTGTCCTTTGACTGATTTTCAATGAAAGCTTGCTTACCTCAAATGTTTTCAAAAAATTTGAAGGCGTTAGCTTCACTCTTGTTTACTGCAAACGGTAAACGGACATATAGACATATCGATGAATAAGCTTACGTCAATTTAGAGTTGGACTTTATCGGGGGTGGTTTCTAGATGCTGCATGCAAACATTTTGATAGAATCAATATCTCACCAAAATATTTAAAAAGGTATCCCTTTCCACTCATTTAAAATGCAGTTGGTAGGAAAGCGTCTTTCGCAACATAGTTCATATGTGAACAATAATTTCAAATTTTGCTTGTCGAAAGTATTAAATTTTGCCGATCTATGAATGTATAGAATCATATAGTGGAAGATTCTTTACGAGATCTTCAATCTGTTTTACCTCATCTTTGCTTGCTATGAATTCGTATAAATACTTAAAAAAGAAATATTTTTAGCGATAAATAACATTATACAGTTGGTTGATTAATTTGTTCTACGGTATTAACTTGGATCAGATTCAGATGCCTTCATGTATTTTAAGTTAGGCCCTATGCCCATCACAGAAGGTATATAAGATTTACACACATTTCTAATGAAGAGAAATTTTCATTGGAAATACCGTTAGATGTCTATATTCTTTTGACTAGATCTGCCAACTACCTATATGACGTTCACTGTCTGGTGTGTCGGATGTCACGATTAAAGTCTCAAAACATTATTTAAAACCACAGTTATTGTCGGTATGTTAAGTTTGAAAAATGGGAAAGTCGGTGCAGAGAGAGAGCCGTAACACATTTCCTTCCTTCCTTTCGGAATTGTGAAACTTTAAATCTGCCTTATATCTCTTCTTAATGAAATTTTACAGCCAATCAAGAGACCGTTTAATAGGTTATGGAAAAGCTATAAAAACAAAAGGAGAAGACAAAGATTTTTGTTGGTACAAATTGCTATAGAGGAAAATGCTTTGAATGTAATGGGACTTTGCAGTGGACATAAAAAATTCAGACAATGTTGAGTATAAACGCTTTATTGCTTTGCCCTGAAGACAAAAATATAAAATTCTTCATAAGAAAAAAAAAAAAAAAGTTGCTTTGCCTGAAAGCTCTTTAAGCACGAGGTTATTACATTTTCGTTTATGGCTGTGCAAGGTGTTGGGAAAAGCAAGTCACAAGCGGTTTTCATGGTGCGTACTTTTATTTATTTATTTATTGAGGCATCGGGGCTTAGTATTCAAGATCCGTTGATGGAGAAGTGAACTGACAAACTTGGATTATTATTTGATTAGCCTCAACATATTCAAATTTACTCAAGTCACTCTTAATGTATTACATAAAGGCGATGAGTGCGTGGCGGTGGAATGTAAAATAAAAAGTATTTGAAATGTTTGTCTACTTAAATGCATTGCATGAGATTTAAAGCATACCAGGATTTTTTGTTTTTTTGCAAATACCTTTCCATGCAAATGCATTGCAATTATGTTTTCAGGTTTGACAGTCCAAATTGATATAACCGCTTAACAGCACATAATTGATTTGACAAATGATTTTCGCTTTTGTAATTGCATTAAAAATACATTCGAATGAAATGTAAAAATCGCTTATATCTGATTTTTCAATGCATTACGTGCTAAAAGGTTAGCTGTCAGCTAAATATATTTGCGTGGTTGTGAGCCTTTTTTTTCTTTTTTTTTTTCTATAAATCATTTAAAAATAATTCGTTTTATAAAGTTAGGTTTATCTAAATTGAAATAAAAAGAAGAAGAGTAATATGACTATTAATCTGCTGTCCCTTTACCTTTTTTTTTTTGATTTTATAAGGTTTACTGCACCCATTCACACGTATGGCACACAATTATGGTGAACAGTGAACAGTGAATGAAATATTGAAATACTATAAAAATCTTAATCTCAGCTTAGACTTGTCGTCGAATTATTAACGCCTTGTGCATGTTTTCCAGTAAAATTATTCATGATGACCTTGCGATTCCGTAAACTAAAGATCGTATTTAATGCTTTCCTTTACATTGCGTAGGCAGGTTGACGAATCACGTCAATTCATCCACGCATTCTTTAATTTTTAAAACACCGAACGACATAGAAAGATTGGAAAGGCTTTGCATATTGGTCTAATCTTAAAAATTTTTATTACTTTTGATTCTTCGGTTACCCGTGAAACCTCTCAATTTGCGTACCTATTTTCTAATTTAAATCTCACACCTGCATTGTTAACTTGGTGTTGCTCCTATTGGCGCGACGATTTGGTCTATTATTTATCCCACATTTTTATAACATTTACTTATTTTGCCTTTATTGGATAGATTGTGGACTTTCTGTTCTTGAGATGCCCCTGTACATAAGTATGAAACAAAAATTTTGACTCAAGACAGTGGCTCTTTTGAACAATTTTGGTACATATTCGTAAGAGGCGAAGCGCTGCTCAGCAAACAATTGGTTATCAAGCGAGATCGAGTACGTGGAGCAAGTCGCATGGGCTAGCACTCATTAGTAGAGTGCGTGAGAGCTACGTGTTGCCTATAGACAGATAGACGGATGCGACGTGGGTTTTACGTGGGTATCTGCCTTGACGGCTTAACCCCACGGTGGCCCAAGCCACGCGGGTTATTTAAGCGTAGCCCACGCCCCTTGGCGAGTTAGGCAATCCCTATAAATTGGGGCCCTAAACAGCATCAGAGTCCAGATTGTTTATTGTGTATGACTCTGGTCAGTTTTGAGGCCTATCCGCACCACGACTTGTTCCACTTTGGCTTGGAATGAGTGAAAACCACAACCACCGTAAATACTCCCCGAAGGGCCGTACCCATGGATGCCACATAAAAAATGTGACTGTGATTATTCGGTTCGTCTAGCTAGCGTTTGATATTAACCGTTTCATCAGACTTTAATAACTGCCAACCGGCTACACTCTTTTTATTCCATCGCACACAGGAAAACGTCTTCCCGCCACAAAACAATTCCTTCTCGCAGTCGACGACGAAGGACGATACGCCTAAATTTGTCCATATATTTTTCCGTTCGGAACGGATCGACTTTTCATCGCCAGTTACGATACGATGCAATAAAAGCTTATTTTTGTCTCGATCGGGCAGAGAAAAAAATTCTGTCCCCTAATGCATATTATTTGACATAAAACTCGTAATGTTCGTCTATTACCAGACTTAACCTTGCTTTACAGGTGGAATGTTCATTGTACTTTTCTAACCGTCCGATACTTTTTCTAACAATTTCCGTAAACTTATAAACTTTAAATGTTGCTTAATGTTTAAAATCATCCATTTGGGGTTAAAAATAAATTTCTTGCTTGCTATGTGCGATATCAACTTATTTTCTCTAGATATGTAGTTTTTAAATGCTTTTTAACACAAAAAGTTGTTGACAGTTTGATAGATAGATAGATAGATAGATACACATTGGTTGAACTTTCTTAGAGCAACATCCTTCAATAAAATGAAAAAAAGATTTCGCCGAGAATGTTGTATAGCCTTAAGCTAATGAAAGGACACCAAGATTCAATTAATTTCTTTTCCGCTTACTTTCCCTTTTAGTAAAGTAACAAAATTTTCTATATATAGAAAATTGTTTTCTAAGCATTTAAAGTTACTTGAGTTAAGCTAAATTGTGGGCGGTTCCTTTTTAGAGCATTAGTGCAAAAGTTTTATGCTGAGTTTATCAACATTTTTCCCTACCTCCTCGGCGGCTCATCAATGTATTAAATTTAATAGCAGGCAGACAGGCAGAGAAGGTGTTGTCGTTGTTTACTTTGGTAATAATTCTTGGAATTGCTACTTAGGAGGATGTTGGGAAAAAAAATTCTGTGACATTTAAACTAACAAGTTTTCTTATTTCGCTTATAATAAAAATCCACAGAAATGACCATAAAAGAGCATAAAATTTTGAGATTTTATTATCCGATCATCTGTGTTTTCCTATTGAAGTTCTCGAAATCACGGAAAACGGAAAACGGAAAAAATTATAGAAAATTAAATTTCTATGCAAATGTGTTGGAGTAAATGGTAGGCGTGAAAATGTATGCAAAACTGATAATGGGAAAAGAAATTCGAAATTTAAAAATTATTTTGTTGATTATATTGTAGCTCTCTAATACGAGATATTAAAGTTTTGATGATCAACAAAGTCATTTATGAACTCCGTTAACGGAGCTCTGCATGATGACATAACAAAGGCTTGTTAGTTAGTTACGATAAAGGTGTGATTATATTTGGAAGCTTACTTCATCTAAATTTAAGAAATGTAAGATATTTTCGAGGACATCTTATGAATCGATATGAAAATATTTTCCGAACAAGCTAAACAAATGCAAATTCGGTTTTTCGGAACTATTTTTGCCATAATTTTAAAATTTGATATGAAAGCATAAACGGACTATCGAATAATGATCAGATTTGAGACTCTATGGTGGTCAAAGTAGAAAATTCCACCGATATTTACCTACACCACCTGAATCTATATATATATATATATATATATATATGCGGAGTCTTAAAAACAAAAAACTCTGCACGTTTTATACATCCACGATGATAATGTTAATATTTAAAATCAGACTCCTCGTGATTATACCTGTATATATAATATATACGACAACATCCGTTGGTGTTTAGTAATGCAATCTGTTATAGATGATTCGCTGTTGTTGTTCAAGTAAACTGTAATCGATTATAAAAAATTATGGCTTTTTACTTTGAATTAATTCTACCCTAGAAGTTTAGCGCAGTCGAAATCAGCAACTTGAGGAAATGCAGTTAGGGAAACGTTCTCTAACTTTTTTTACGCTTTGTTTATATCCAACACGACTTGTTATGCAAGGTTGCATTAAGTTTGTGTGTGGATATGTACAACACGCAGTAGGACTTGAGATAGGCCTACTTATTAATATACTGTTCTAAACTTGGTCATTCATCTATGCCTCTGTTCCGTATCATGTGCCCAAACCCACGGGTCGTAATTTTTAAGATATTTTGATGAAATTAGGGAAACCGATTTATTTTGGTCCAAGCATGAACGGTTCGACTTGTTCCGATTTTCGACGACTTATGTGCATAACTGCACTAAGCGAAGTGTCAACGCTAATTTAATGATGGTCTGTGGCCCACTTTCGGGTTTTCATTTGTATTCACCTAACTTTAATTTTATTCAAGCACTACTTTATGACTTCGCGGTACAATCTAAGTTTTGATAAATTTCCGACTTTTTTTTGCTGTTTTCTTAAATGCCACTCGTGTTGGTTTTGCGGTTAGCGATAACCAAATTGTTAAAGTTCATATAGTTGTAGTTTTTGGAAGGCCCTGGACGACGAGTCTTCTCTATGAAAGGGAAAATTTTTTTATTTATCATTCCCGCCATTGTCAGAATAATATGAAATATGGTAAAATTCTTCAGAAAGTTCGGTAGAGCGCGTTGCATCTATCTACTGCCCTTTGGCTTTTGACTTCACGAATTCAGAATTATTGATCTGAAATTATACCGGTATACCGAGCACTAATTTATACGGAAAAGACTCAATGTTTTCTTTTCGACATTCTACTCGAATACTTTGCAAAATTTTCGGTGCATATTTGTGTATTTTGCATTTGTACACTCAAGGACATAATTCATGGCATTCATAATTATATTTAAAAATTTAATTTTTTCTATTTAATTACCTTCAACAATGCGAACTCTATTTCCTTACTATCTGCAATTTAAATTTCTCAGTTAAATCAATAAAATCAGCACGAATTGCTCTTGACGTGTCATTCTATCGCATGTTTATTCTTGTTGACATAAGTATTTGAATATTTTGATAAAACGAAAGAACCAACAATATTGATATTATTACACACTACGCCCCTTTTTTACTGCAAGCTATAATAAGCTGGTGCGGATGAATGTAACATCCATAAGCGTTTACTTCTTCTTATTTACTTACGCTTGCATGTCTATCTTTAGGCTTGTCTGGCTAGTGCCTTCTCATGCATATTTCTGTTCAATCTGCAGATATCAGTTTCTTTTTGCGAACATTTTCCTCATTTTAAGCAATCGGATATAAGGAAAAAATTTGCAATTTTTACAAATTTGCTGACTAATAATACTTTGCTATTCTAACTTGATCTCAGAAGTTTAGATGGAATAGACCAAGTCAAGGTATCCCTTTCCCTATGACCGTTTCTACGAAAAGTAAGCCCTTATATGGTAAAAGGTCTATTGTTAAATATTTTATGGTGAGAGACGGTCTTCAATGACAATTTACCATAAAAATTAGTTGCATCAAATTTGGACAACATTGTTCTAATTATTAGATCTCACTGTATGTAAAGATTCACGGGGATCACGGAAAGTTAGTCTTCATATATGTAGATACCTCGTAATATGTTATATACATAATAAGCTGTAATAGGAGGAGAATAAGTTACAAAATAAATACAATAATCGTAATTAGGAGAAATTGTAATAACAAAGCTCATATCATAAGTGTACATAAGTTCTTATAATAAATTCATATCATAAGTTACAATTAAAAAAAAAAAAAAAAAAAAAAAAAAAAAACATAATAATAATCATAAATAAAGTTATGATAAAAATAACATAAAAGATTTTATAATAATATAAAAGAAATAAATAAGTTATAATAATAAATTATTTTTATATTTATTAATATTTATTATACGATTACATTAAGAACTTAGTAACTTATTGCATGGCTTGATATAGTTTAGATCATATTAAGATTCTTGACAGGAAAACTAAACGTGAATTCGGTTCACACCTTAGGCGTTCCCCTTGTATAAATGCATCCAAGAAAATCAAGTTTCTACATAGAGATAAGATATAAGTTTTCTTATTACGCCATGAGAATAAATGAAGAATTGTACGAATGGTCGGTCGCCTTTGCTAAAACTCTTTTTTATATATATATATTCATATTTATTTGAATTTATGTTCGTTAACGTTTAGTAGAGTTGAAAGAGAGCCAAATGATAGAAATTTAAAACAAATAACACAAAAACAAAGTATCCTGATAATAACAAATTATTAAAAAAATCACTTACCTGTAGGTAAACATGAGGCAATGCGACATCGTTGCCACCCACTACGCCTAATGTGCGCAAAAATGTTAAAATCGATCGCATGGTAAAGGGCAAAGCAAAACATAAACGACGCTGCCACGGCGAACTGGCAGTTAGGGCCTAAATAAAAACAAAAAAAAAAACACACACACACACACAACACAGGAAAAAAAACAATGAATTACTTTTTTATATAAGATATTTAAAATTCAAAAAAAAAAAAAAAAAGAAAAATTATTTGAAATATTACAAAGAAATAAATTTGAAAATAGTACTCATACGCTTGGTCGTACTATTTATTATTGCTAAAGTTATATACATTTATGCATATATTACTCTTCAAACTTTATATAGTTACCTTATAAAGGCCCCAAAGTGACATAAGGCAATATGATGCTATTATTAACCATTTCCATTTGTACGTAAAACAAAATGTCGTGGCGGTCACTAATGGCAAAGCACCTTTAATAATAAATTTGAAATAAATAAATGGAAACAAAATGATTACATTTTGAGTTGAGTTGAAAGACAATGGAAAGAAAGGAGTTTTAAATCTTTTGTAATGAAAAAAAAAAGAAAAGAAAACAACAAAAACAATAACAACAACAATAACCAAAATTTACTTTCATACAGAGTTCATGGAATGCGTTATAGATTATATTGCATTATGAATTATAAGTCGGCACATACGCGTTCACACATTTAACCACCCACTTCTGCTCTAATTATTTGCTATGAACTTTTAATGCATTTTATAGTAATTACGTAGAAAACGATATTAAATCGACTTTTGAGCAAAAAAAATGTCAAAAAGCACTCTGCACTACTACTTCATATATTTCTTTCATTTTTTTTTTTTTTTTGTGATGGAGTCAACTTTTATTTTTCCTTATAAATGCAATAGTGGAATAACATTAAGTAGTACTGTATGCCATAATTATAACATTAAAGTCGGTGTCGCCAGTGAAAGTTGATTTACTTTGAAAACATTTCCAATTAAAGTTTTAATTTTTATATTTTTTGCGAAAAATTACAGGAAAATGCAATACAGGTGCATATGAATTAATTAGCAAGTAAAAAAATTATATTCATCTGCAATCGAATTTTTTATACTCGTCACTGTTATTCTAGGAAAAAAAAAAAAAAAAAAAACGGAAAAAAATTTATTTTCCATACTCGATATAATATTGCGTGGGCAAGGAAAATTTTTTCTATTTTTTTTGATGTTGATATCGTGTGTCCACAATAGCTTTCTTTATCTACTGTGCAAGCCCCATTTTGCTTGGTGCCCATATCGATGGGATTGTGAAGAAAAAATTAATCTCCTTTCACTTTATTATATCTTACTTTCCAAGTCCTTATACTGGATACACAATTAATTACACTCCTAAGAGAATTTGACTCCGCTACGTTATGGGGTCCATTTTTTTTTACAATTAACACATTTTTATACACATTTTTAATATATCATCACATGAGGAATATAGAGAATAGTTTTCGCGACATTCTCGCATCGTTTAACTTACGAGTAACTAGCAAAAAACTGGCCGATTACTGCATTTTTGCGATCAGAAGAATGTATACAAAAGACTCTACGTGGACGGACAGACAGACATGCTTAAATTACTTCAGAATTTAATGCTTGCCAAGAATACATGCACTTTATTAGGTCTCAGAAAGCTTTCTTCTCGGTGTCGCAAGCATTTCGGCAAAATGAATATACCTCCCGTCCTTCGCTGATGAGTATAAAAATTGAATTAAAACAAAAAAAATCAGTGGGAGATAGAAAAGCTATATATGCTTTCGAAGTCAGTGTAATGGGAGTTTTGTTAATTGTATAAAGGCCAAGTGATGCTGTATTTATATTTATATTTATTTATACATATGGTTAGCAGTTATTCAGGTCAAGGTTGTTGAGGAAAAGTTGTCACTGTAATAGGGAGAGACAGAAAATGAGTTTGTTTTTTTTTAATTTAATGCAATTAATTTATCATTTTCCTAGTAACTGGCATTGACCTCATGAATTTCGCATTGTACTGGGAGCGTGAATAAGTTTCTGCTGATTTTTTTTTAAAAAACTTTAATGCATATTATGAACAAAAAATGACAAGACAGGTTTAGTTCAAACTATTGCTTATTCTCCTGTGCGCATTTCACGAAGAAACAATAATCTTCTTCTTTTGAGATTATCTATTTAAAGGAACCCATTTTTTGGTGATTGTCTTAAAAAGAAAAGCCCTGTTCGAATAGACGATAAGTCAGCGATTGAAACCTGCTGATAGGAAAGCTAGCACACATTGCAGGTTAGTGCTGCTAACATTACCTAAACTAGTTTTGCTATACATTGGACTAGATTTCGAAGATTCGCGATATCTTGTTGCCACATTGCGTCGTTTTTTGTCTTTTTAAAAGTTCTAGAAATTGCAGCTGCAGTCATTGTCGTATGTGGTTTTAAATCGAACTGATTGATAGTACAGTGGCACCTAATTGCGGTATATGTAAGGCTTCACGTTCTTCTTTAAGATCCTGGTTGCAAGGAACGGCGCAAGCAGCTTTTATTACCGGTCGCCAAAGACCAATGTGATGATTTATTTCTAAATTTTTTTTCCATTACCATGCTTTTAAAGCATCCTTTGAACCAATAAATTCAACCGTTCTTTTACTCTTCTAACTATTAAAAATTAAATGATTGTTTGTAAACCCCAAACCATAATGGTGGCGTAAAGTCGGTCCATTGTGGTTAGCACAACAAAATTACCCACAACTTTTCTTCTCTTAGGGGTTAGCCTAGTGGTTAAGACATATGGCATTCAACCGAAGGATCCAGATTCGATTCTTGGAACCGTTAATGCAGCATTTAAATTTTCTTCATAAAATGATAAAAGCTACATATCTCTCGATATCTAAAGATTATCTTGGGACGATCTAGGAAAATTTCTAAGGGTTATGTCACACATGACGTATGAACCGCACTAGTACTTGCTTTCCTTTCAATACATGGAAAACGTAGAGCAAATTACTTCACGTCTTATTTGCATTTCATATGCATGCATATCTACAGGTCCACGTCTTGACTATTAATCTTAAACATGTATAAAAATAATTTCAAGCTTCGCTTTATTGTGCGATTTAAATTGGTATTGAAGCATAGATCTAATTTTCGAGGAACAAAGAAGTCCCCAAGTTTTTATAAAGGAATTTCAAGATATGATATTATGTGTAGGTTCAGAATTAAATTGACTACGCAGATCGAATTTCTGATAATAGAAATCCTATTTGATTAGTTAGAAAGAGTCTGTTGCTCTCAACAGGAGAGGGGATAACTTTTAAAAAGCAAATTGTAACTGAAATTGTTAATGGAAAATAATTTGTCAATTTTTTATTTCGACTCAAACAGGAGCAGTACACTTATGCGTCCACACATAGACATGTATGATGCACTGAATAAAAAATATTTGAAAGAATTTTTCAGTCAATCCTTCGCAATGATTACCATAAAAAAACAGTTATGAAAGTGATTTTTATATAGAGATAAGTTTCTCTCCTATAATAACGACGAACAAACTTTTTTCATATCCTGTCACATCTTAAAGTTGTTTCATTTTTAAAATGAATATAATTTTTGGTTTTAAAAATATAAACCACTGCTGTATGTGCGCATAAGAAAAAAGAAAAAAAAAAAAAATAATAAAATTGTCGGTTCTGTATGTTGATAAGCAACACCCACCGAACGATACAAATTTGAACCTTTGAAAGAAAATCCATTTACGAATTCACCGTGAATAATGTACATTAAGCAGTTACATCAATAACTTTACATAATCCTGCAACAAATTTATGTAAAAGGTTCAATTTTCAGCTCACTTATCTTCGTCATAGAAGGCATTTATCTTATTTTGTAATATTTACGGAAAATATTACTTCAAAAGCATGTAAATGCTTTTAAAATTTATTACCGATAGCAAAATAATTGGATACGAGAAGAAGAAGATGAGATTATTGTATCCCTACACTATATGCGGCAACGGCATATAAAACGCTTACGGGCGTATGCAACATCCAAAACAACTTAATGCAACATTTTTTTTTTTTTTTTGGTTAACAATGAATTTAGAAACTTTTGTTGAATGTCTGTTGTCTCTCGAAACAATGCTTATGTGAGAGCCACAAGTGATAACTTTCGAGACGTATTAATGATATTTGATGCATTCACACATTCACATGCTCAAGAAAGATTCATTATAAAATGTATTAGATCGAACCACGCCATTGCTCATATGGAGCCCTATTTTGAAATACTCGTTACGACGCTAAATGAAACTGAAAAATTTAAATGCAATGCGACCATACGAAAGGCTTCTTAGAGAAAATATCTCTTTATATCGAATTCTTAGACTAGCTCCGGATGACATAGTGCAGGCTATTTATTAGTCGTCCTTGTCCGACTATAACATTTTAATTGGTTATTGCTTTACCTTAAAAGCATCATTAGTGTTAAGAGAAATAATGTTTCAAGAATGTATTTTGTGTTGTGTACAATTTTTATGCCCATGACACCGAAGGAGATGAACGGCCACATTCATCTTGTAAAAATGCTTGCAACATACACAAAAAGCCTGTAGAAGCGCTATAAAGCATAAAGTTTCTTGTTCAAACAATCTGAATAAATTTAGTCGTCTGTCCGTCTAACGGTTCATGTAAAACATACTCCGGGCTGTAAGAATTAAGGCAACGAGTTAAAGCTGAGTAAAAACATTGAGAATAATTGTTAGATGTCATGGTGACCGCCGGCCCATAAGGAGCCATGAACCAAATTAGTCTAGGATCACAGATGCGACAAAACATAAACTGAGAACATCTCGTCTTTTTTTGAAAAGCAAAAAGAGTTGTGTTTTGGTTCGTTACTCATAAACTACAACCGATAAAAAGATTAAAAATATTGTATTGCTGATCCTTGCAGCAAGTGTATGAAAATAGGGAAATTCAGACCCGAGCTGCTACTATTACAGAGCATTTGTATTTTTCTGTCTGGATTTTTAAAGATAAAGGTTTGGTAGGTGTAGAAAATTCGGCCACAGTTGAGTACAATTTTCTTGCGTATTATGTTTTAAAAGTAGTTTCTTTTAGAGAAGAAAAAGATACGCATAATGGTAAGAGATTTATGCAATTCAGAAAAAGATAAGAGCCCATCGTTACTGAAATAATTCAAAATTGCAAAATTACAATGTGTTTGTGTTTCAAGCTTTGACATAATAGTCGAAACTATTGTTATCAATGCACGCACCCTTCTAAATATCCGTTACTTTGAGTTTGTTTTCTTTTCTGAAGCCTTTAGGATTTGCAGATCGTTTCTGTGCGCTGCCAAACCCAATTTTTCTTAAGATTAACTTACAGTTAATTACATTCTATCCGCCTGAGTGGCCGAGTAGGCAAGAGTCTCGACTAGCAATTCAATGGTCGTCGGTTCAAATCTCAAAGCCGAAAGCCTTAGATGCTAGTGCTTTTTTAAGACTTTAGTCTTAGAATTTATTCTCTGGCTAAATTTATAATCATAATCATAATAATCATCATCGTCAACATAATTACATTCTCTCTAACCCCAATTAAAACGAACGTAATGTGAAGGGTTAGAGAAAGCATATTAGGAGATAAGTGCGGTATAAATCCATTCCTAATGTCATCTATGCTAGTATGAGTAGTATATATGTGTATGTTAATAGAATAACTCCGAATAATTTCCAAGAAAAGGAAAAATCTCAATAAAATTTATTTGTAAGTAACGAAACAAAAAAAAAAAAAAAAATGTTAATGTTACAAAGAACAATAACTACTCAAACCAAATACAAAAGACATTGTAAAATCAACGAAGCAAAAATAATATAAAAAAATTCAAAGTAAAATGGGAAATAAAATATTAAATTAAGTAGCGAAGTCGGTATCGCATATAAAGCATGGTGATCAATAATTTCCGGGACTGTGTTAAGGAGAAAAAATAATAATTTTTTTGTAGAAAAAGTGACATTTTTCCATCAACATAACCTCTCGTAGAATCAATCTAACGCTTGTAGAACACTTTTCTGAAAACATTATTTAATCGAATTATGTTTTTTTTTTTCCTGAAGCAACTCGTTTAAGACTTGCCAACAGGTAATAGTCGCCGGCGGTGAATTCCTGCGAATATGAGGAGTGAAGCATAAATTCGAATTTCAGTTCGTGCAATTTTTTTAATGTAGTAAGTAGACCAGTTTGAGAAGAAGTCTTTTCATGCACAAATTTTTAATGAAAAATAATTGGAAGCGTGCCTTTTTTTGTTAATGTATCCTTTTGGGAGATATCAGGTATCACCTGCAACTTTACGTTTTAATTAACGAGAAAAATTGTTCGAATTTTTTTGTATAACAATCTTTTCTGGTCGCTAAGCATTATTGATGGCCGGACGACATAGTTTCACATTAATTCACCGATAAAATGTTGGGTGTGGTAGAGAAGAGTTGGCTTTATAGCTTCCAAGAAAATGCTGTCCATTTTTTTTCTTTCCACGAAATTCAAATATTTCTATTATTTTGAATATAATCAAGGCACGCGTCACTAGAGCCGTTGCTAGTCGTAAACAAATAATTGAAATATCATGCGATTTTTTTTTTTTTTTGGCCGTTATTTGAGTTTGGAGTGAGTTTGTAAAAATCACTAATTTCCGGGATATATGTTACGCTTATTTTTTTTTACACATATTAACTGAAAGAGCAAAAAGGACGCTCTGGCGTATCTTGCACACCCACGATGAATAAAATTTTTGTAAATTGTACAATGCCTTGTTTTCGCTACGTACATCACATGTTTGCTTTTTAGGTGCATTTATGTTCGAAGAATTTAACAGACTTCCTACGGCATTGTTTTCGTACATAGAGTGCTACTTTTGTATCGAGGCTGTTTATGTTGGCGTTTGCGTCGTCAACAAATTGAAAGCATCTTCATTGAGGGAAAGATAATGACTTATGAGAATGATATCCATCCATTGCTTTCCACGAATGTGACTTTACATCATGAAATTTTATAAACTGCCAGCCATAAAAAAAATAAGAGAAAATTTTCCATTCGAATGAATCTCCAAGTATATAAGATTTTGATATAGAGATATTTGCATATCATTTTAAGTATTTTTCTTAACAAAAAAAAATTTCTTTTAAATTTAATTATAGGTAAGTAAGTGAGAGTTAAAATTCCTTTTATGCATTATGAAATTTTAGAGAGAGTTAATAACTAATCTAATCTGAGTTAAAAGTTAATATATTCTCTACAATTAGCGGGGATCTCCTATTAAATGAAAAATAGAACAAAAAATGTTCAAGTATATTGAATTTAGTTGAAATGAACTCAACTCGATCTAGAATCAAATAAAAAAAAAAAAGAAAAGAAAAGAAAAAAAGAGAAAGTTTTTAATTCTACCCACACAACGATAACCCTTAACGACCTTTACCGAATTCTCAAAATCGTGTATAAAATGCGATCGTTAATGAAATTTTTATAGTTCTAGAGTTAGTCGATAATAAGCAGCGCATGCGATTGGAACGTATAAATATGAAATCACTTAAATTATTACTAAATATTCAATTGGCTTTAGTGATTGCTTACGGAATTGAAAATCAAGCGAATGTCTTGCCGTTGCCGAATAATTTCCATACCGTTGCAGCCAAACGCATAATGCTTTTATCTAAATCAGCTGAAATGCAAAATTACATGAAACCGGAAGTGGACGCGTGCAATGATTTTTATAATTACGCTTGCGGTAATTGGGCGAAAATAAATCCCGCAAATAATGGCGCAAAAACTGGTTTATTTATTACATTAACGAATGCTTATGATCGCCGAATAGCGCGTTTATTAAACGAGACTAACGATGCAAGAGATAATGAATTTCATCCCAAGGTCAAACATTTTTATGAATCATGTTTGCAAATCGATCAAAGGAAAATTAATTATCAACAAAAATTATTAAATATTATGGAGGAATTTGGTGGCATGCCCGCTATGAAAGGCAAAGATTGGAGCGAGGATAAATTTGATTGGCTTACAACGATAGGGCGTATACTTAAAAAGTATGGAACTTCAATTATCATTGGTGTTCAAATAATTGCCGATCTTACGAACAATGAAATTAATCGCCTTTATATAGGTCAAATTGATAGTTTGACAGCAGCAAAATCCTCTGAATATTCTGAACAATTAAAATTATCTTGGGAATTGGATATAGCCGCCGTCTTGGGTTTAAGGCGAGACCAAGCAGCAAAACTAGCCCATGAAATGATAGAATTCGCTCAGAAATTGGCATTGGGTGTAGCAGATCCGATTGAAGGTTTCGACATCGAAGATAAAACACGTTTACGATTACTCGATGACATGACAGAAAATTATGGTCCAACCATAAATTTAACACATTTTGTAAAAACATGGCTCGGTTATGAATACAAATTGCCCGTCTACGAGTATGTGGAGAATTATTTTCGTAATTTAAGAATATTGATAACAGAAACTCCTCCGCGTGTAATTGCCAATTATATTATGTGGGAAATGATACAAGATTTCCGTTTAGATTTGCAAGGCGATACGGAGAGACAACGCTTAAAATGTGTCGATGCTACAAAACAATATTTCGTTAAATATTTAGATCATGTAATCTATGGACAGATATCAAAAGATGATCCTACCATAACACAAGAGATCAATATGTTATGGCAACAGTTAAAGTTAGCGTTTGAAGACATATGGAAATCATCGGATAATAAATGGATGAAGGAATCAACGAGAGATAAAGCTTTAGAGAAACTTTCAGCCATGTCTTTCGAAGTAAACAGTTACGACGATATCGATTTTGTTAAAGAGTTTGCTTCGCTCATCATTAGTCCGACGGATTATTTCGAAAATGTGATAAATATAATGAAACATCGAGGAGAAAATTACCGTTTAATGTTATTCGAACCGCCACATTTAGAGGAATATGAACTGAGAAGTTCTACACCGGTTTACACATCAGAATACAATAAAGTCTTGCTGCCCGTTGCCTTTCTGCAACCGCGTTTCTTATGGGATAAGATTTATCCGGCAGCACTTAAATATGCTACCCTAGGTAGCATTATAGCGCATGAAATGGCGCATGGATTCGATGACACAATGAGCAAATATGATGCTAAAGGTAATCTAAACAATTGGTGGGATCGTAATACAAGTGAAGTGTTTGCATTACGTAAGGAATGTCTACGTCAGCAATATGGCAGGCAAGAATATGCGGGCAAACTTTTGCCTAAAACTCAATATCAAGGTGAAAATATAGCTGACAACGTTGGTATACGAATAGCTTATGTGGCCTACGAAAATTGGTTATTTAAAAATCCGAAAACATTTGAATATTTACCGCACATGTCTCACGTTAATCCGTATCAATTGTTTTTCATTAGTGCTGCACAAGTTTGGTGCACAGATTTGAATCGTATTTGGCAGAATATTGTAGTCAATACTGATGTCCATCCGCCCGAAGAGATACGCGTACGTGCTTCGTTTGCTAATTTTGATGCATTTGCACGAGCCTTTAAGTGTGAACTTGGCTCTGCAATGCATCCGCATCGTAAATGCGTCATTTATTGACACTAAGGAAGTATTATTATGATGGCGATATACCTTGACACTAATAACCGTGTAGTTTAGGTGAAGTTAACATATGTGTTTGTATATTATGAGTGTGTGTGTGTGTGTATGTGCGTATATTTATTTTTTGAATTTTTAAAAAGTATTCTCTCGTCTTCTCTTTATGCTGATAATGAGCCTCTATTGCCGATAGTTGTTAATAAATAATAAAAAAATGAAAATGAAAATCATAAACCATTTAAAGGAAATGTTAGTGAAAGAGGAAATACGAAACTTGAACTTGACTCAGCATTACGTTATGCTTCAATCTTGATCTTGATTACAATACAATATTTTTGCACTTTAGAGTCTTTCGAGTAAAATTGCATTATAGATCAAATTAACTGAATTTTTCCACTAAGAAACTTTTAATTAATATGCAAAGAGCACTCTTAGGCTACAAGTATAAAGGGTAAATAATAGAATAGAATAGAAAGAGAAAGGAATTAAAGAGAGGCAAAAGAAATGGAAGGGAAGGAAAGAAAGGCAGGGAAAGGCAAAGGTATTAAAGAGAGGCAAAAGAAACGGAAAGGAAAGGCCGAAAAGCAAGGAAAGGGAAAGGTATTAAAGAGAGAGAAAAGGAAACGGAAGGGAAAGGCCGAAAAGCAAGAAAAGGGAAAGGGATTAAAGAGAGGCAAAAGAAACGGAAGGAAAAGAAAGAAAGGCAACGAAAGAGAAAGGCAAAGGGATTAAAGAGAGGCAAAAGAAACGGAAGGGAAAGGCCGAAAAGCAAGGAAAGGCAAAGGGATTAAAGAGTGGCAAAAGAAACGGAAGGGAAGGAAAGAAAGGCAAGGAAAGGGAAAGGCAAAGGTATTAAAGAGAGGCAAAAAGAACGGAAAATGAAATATTTCTCGCCGTGAGTAACTTTGCGTTAGCACTATATGTGTCAACGAACTGACCAGAAGATCAATTGGATTCTCTGCTTCCATATCGGTGGCATTCGTTCTCTCGGATTCTTAAAAGTTAATTTAAACTCATTTACTCTGAAGATGTTTTTGGGCCGCATATGCCCAATTTTTAAAGTTCATCTCTTACTGTGAGGTATATGCTAAGTGGGAAGTTTTTACACCATATTTAAATGCCTTACATCCGACTTAACCTCAAATAATCAAGTAAAGGGTTCATCATAAACCTCACTTTTGCTACTTTCTAAACACAAAAAACGGCAAACATACAAAGTAAATAAATGCATAAAAAAGCCTATGGAAAAATTCCAAGCTAAACGTTTTAGCTGCAATCAAGTTTTTCATGTTTTCATAACCTAATCATTTATTTGCTTAGTAATTGTTAGGAAAACAGAAAAGTAAGTAGTAAATAAGGTTATTTTCATTCCTCACTGCCATCTTTATAATAATTAATTATTTGTAAAATAATTAATTTTATCTTAAAGTTATTTCTCAAAAGAGTATTGAAATGACACCGAATGCCAACTAATTGTCAAAAAAAGGACAAACAAGAAAAAGAAAACGTAGAGAAAAACATATCTAGCAGCAGTCGTGTAGTCATATGGAACTGTTATTATGCCTGGAAGGGTGATATTTTGACATTTATCGAGTCACAATGTCTGTCAGTCTTGTTAGTTAGCACATTGTTTCGAATGTATAACAGCTTCCTCAACAACAACAACAACAACGACAACAACTGCTATAGCTGCAGTTACTTACCCTTAAGTGAATGGGTAGGTGGTAAAGAATTCAAGTGTCAACGACGTCGACTGCAACTGTTTGTGAATTGTACACTAAGAGAACAAGTGAATAGAAATAAGCCAGAGACAATGTAATGAAATGAACAGCAGGACGTAGTTTGCAAGAAAATTTTCATTTTCCAAAAATCAAATTGAATAATTTATTAAAACGAAAACAAAAAAAAAAGAAGAAATTTTTCATGTATATATAAAGTGTCGTTGTGTTCAACATTGCGACATTTACAAATTTTAAATTATTTTTTTTCATAAATTTAAACGAAAATTTTGTTTTTATTTTAAATTTCGAACATTTTTCTGATCTCTTGTGCAATGTGTTCGCTTTTATAAAATAATGTCTTCTTCTTCTAAATCTTTATATATAAACATCGAGTTATAATAGTTAAGCAGCTTTATAGACATGCAGGAAATGGAAGTACGTGGCAAAAACAATGTTGGAAAATTTTTATTGTTTTCTAAAATATTTTCCCCAAAGACTATTACAACCGACTTGCGGCAGATTACGTACAGTCAAGTATCTTATTATTGATTGCATTAATTATTACTTTGATTATTTATTTGTAACGCGTTGTGTAAGAAAGAAACATCATAAGAAGGTACGTTATAGTGAAAAATTCTTAAATTTTTGCTCGGCATAATGGGGTGACCGTAAAAAAGATGTAAGAAAAGAAAGATAGATAGACGATCGCAGGGAATTGCGTGTGTAGAGTGCTATCCCTTTACTGAATGAGCATTCACTCCGTAACTGCGACCATAGTAAACTACCCGGCGGTGAGATTTGAATGTGCGATCAGTGATCAAGTAGTTGCGATGATTTCCCTATTCCGCTACTCTTAGCCTGCCTTGTACAGAAAACCGTATTTTAAGGACGTGAGTGCATATGGTTTTTAGGCGCCAAAATCGTTCTTCCGATCTTCCTTCCATTTGGAAATAATTCAACAGTCATTTCCCAAATCAGTAATCTCTTGGTTTATAAATTTTAAAAGGCACGCCCTATTGCCATCGAAGCCACTATCGAATAATTTATTTCGAGTCCGAAAGTAGGCTTAGCTCCTTTATTTCCGAAATCAAGTACGCAATCCCACTAGTCGTCTGACTTGATGACTGATTAGAACATGAGATCTTCTCTAAGTTAAATGAAGTTATAGCGACGCATAAGAAGACTTGAGTTTCATTTCAAGACGCCTAACAATTGTTTTGTTCAGTTATTGGCAATATTGACTGCCTTTCTTGACAGCAAACTATTTCTACGAGAGAGATGAATTTTCAAGACTCCATACAACACGATCCAAGTATTCTGTTATTAGGTCGTCAAAAATCATAAAAAATTAATTTTGGAGAAGTACTTATGAGTTAACTTCATTTTACACTTTTCAATTTTACATCGAATGTCATAAGCAGCATGTATAAATGCACCTTAAAAAATGTTAAGCTTAACTATGGAAACGTATGTTTGCGCCATATATGTATCGCGATGATATCATTGAAATCATTACAAGAGTTTCTCTAGAAAAACTTTGCAATTAACAAGCATAGGTGAAATTTAGTTTGAAAAAGAAAACTGTTGCCAGGTAACAATACAAAAAAAAAAAAAAAACCAGAAAAAGTGAAGAAAATGAAATGAAAGATTTGCTAAACGAATTATATACACTATAAGTTGAGTAGAAAAAGACCAAAAATTGCCAAAAGGGTTTTTGCTCCACAACAGAGCGCCTAAGTAAACAGATTTACCGATATATTATCAAGATTGGCATTAGCAATGTTAATCGCCTTAAAATGGCAAGCGCTTAAGTAAAAAAAAACAATTAATCGATTTTCAAAAACTCCAACATATAAATAAAAGATATAATTTTATACTCACCGAAACTCTGTGTGACCCAAATACCGACCATATCTAATTTCAGTAGAGTATAGTAAACACTTTCGCCGCGTTCAATGTTCATGAAAAGATGATAGACAAAACTGCCGCACCATGGTGCCACCGAACCGAATACATGACAAAATGATAAAAAACGATATCCACTCTCCCAAGGCATCAAACCAGGCACGATTGCCAATATATACACTATAGGTATAGCTAAAAATGAAAAAATTTTCAAAATTAATAAAAACAAATTGCTTATAAATATTTAATAATAAATTTTTATTTTTCTCTAGAATTAAGAAAATAATCCGAGAAGGTCAAGTTTATAAACATATATAAACGCAATCGATAGTTTATTTTAACGAATTTCAAAAGCATCATCAATTTTTTTTTTTTTTTTTTCATTTTACTTTAATAACCATCGCCTGAAAGTCTGTCATGTTTGTCAAACGTTTGCAAACAATAGTAATAAATAACGGAGGCTTCACTATTTGCGGAAATGATTTCGTCATGTCTATCGATCAATCAATTTGCCGTCGCATGTGTCTTCGTATAAAAAAAAAAAAAAAAAAAAAAAAAACAAAAAAATAGGTTTTGATTTTATTCTACTTACGAAAATCACATATGTGATAAAATAGGTTAAGCATGCAGACTTGCAGTCCGATTTGCTAGGAAATGAAATTTCTTATTGATGTCGCCCATGGCAGTCCGTATCGCAAAGCAAAGAGACCTTAAGCACATTGGCATTGAAGGAAAAGATTAACAACACAATTGACAGGAAAGTCAACAGGTAAAAAGATTAACAAAAATGTCAACATGAAATCTGGGATATGGCGATTCATTTTCTTAAGGTCGCATAAGCACTGGATTCGCTTAAGGCACTGGAAAGTCCTTGTAAATAATGGCTGCGTACAATTAAAATCCAACGGTACGAACTTAAGCTCAGGTATGTTAGCATAAAAACGAAATCCCAAAGGGAAGGGCATCTTATGTAATAGTACCTAACATGGCTGTGAAAACGAACAGTGGAAAAGGAATTTCTTGGATTTGTTTCTTTTGATCAACTCAAGCGTACCAAGGGTTTTTAGCCTAGCGTTTAGGAGACAATAGCCAAGCATGCGTCTCCAAGATTCTACATGCAATCTACATATTGTTGATTATTGCAATTCTCCATATTTTTATTTGTAGATCCGTTGAGTGCAAGTTGAACTCGCACGATGAGACAAATTAAAGGCAATCTATTATATAATAAGTAGATAGAAAGAATATGTAAATGATTCGCTATCTGTTCATGAGCTTGACTAAGACAATTCACTAAATATCGTTGTCAAGCTTAAACTATTTAATGGAAACCACGTCTCCACATATAAAAGAATTCTTGATGTAATGGTACTCTGGACCTTTTACGCTTTGTCTGGTAGAAAAAAATGGTTGGAGGTCCTTTTTCTCTGTTAGAATTTCGCTGATGACCGTTACGAGTAAGCTTACGTAAGCAAAAGAATTGTCTGCTAAATAAAGTATTGAGGTTAAGTCGAAAATATGCAAAATGATATCAAATAAAATTAAAGTTCCTTGTGGGTATATTTTCATCAAGGGCTTCTTACAGCGGCCAGCCAAAATTTAGAAATTTGCCTCTCCGTTATGCTTGGGATGCAAAGGCACTTTACATTTGGAGGCGTATTGATGTGAGTGAAGACGTATAATCTGGAATAATTAAAGCGGCCAGAGTGCGTTCCGTTCGTGATGGTGATGGGGGGTAGGGGGGGGGGGGGGGGGGGGCGCGATGAATTCTTTTTTATAAGTTATATTTCTCTTTGACGTTGGAAGGACAAGGACACAAAGTTGGTATTAAAAGATTAGATTTTTTTCGCAATTTTTTCCAATTTGTCTTAATTCATTGCTTATTTCCTGTTAAAGCAAATGCCAACAGCTTTACTACGCACTGATAGAAGTGAACAAAAAACCAGTTTGCATACACGTTTTTATATATACCTCAGCACGTTTCTAGTCTATAACAATAGCAATAACTGTCTTTTTCTAGTTACTACTACAACAGTATCTTTCAAGTGTCCGTTTGATTTAAGCTTCAAGGAAAGTAAAACATTGTTTTTTTTTTTTTTTCTGTTTTTTTTCTAAAAACCACTTTTGTAACTCAATTCGATATTTTTATTATACTTGTTAAAGAAAAGTTTCTTCTTTTTTAACTTTCTTCCTCTCGCCTGTCACGTACATTACGTTTTGTTTGCTTTTTCTTTAGAAATTTTAGATTTCATTTTACACACAAAAATTTTCATTGAACTTGAGCCAAATTTTAAATTTTAAAAACTAAAGAAAAATTAAAAGATTTACTATTAGAGTATAAACGAATAAAAAACTAGACTTGAAATATTACGATTTCAGGGAAGAGATAGAAACTAATATCCAGTTATTAGTCATTCATTACTGTTGATTAGAGTCCGAATTAAGTCTTCTGCGATCAAAAAATCCCAGAACTACTTTTGCTTCTTCCATTTAATGATAATTTTTATTGCCTTTCGGTTTACACCGACTATAGAGATATGTCGTTCATGAGAGCAAGTTTCTGGAAGGGCCTAAATGATGAGAGCAAATAGAGAGATTAAGTTAACCAAGTCTGTCTGCGTTTCTGCCTGCTTTTCGGAATTACGATCAAAATCTTGCCTAGAAACTTGAGTTCAATTTGGGGTATTCGTACTGAATGATCGTTAAAATGACTCTAAACGAACTGAAACGAATAAAATGCTGATTTAAAACAAAGCTTTACTCAAAAAGTCCAATTTGCTTGTCTTTATCGCTCCTCTTATTTTTCTACTTTAGATATGCATCGTGAGGATACATCGTCTCAGCATATAAAAAAAAATTGTGTTTTCAGGTTTCCCAAAGTACTAGATTTATTATATTCCTTTGCAAACATCATTTTTATTATAATCTTTATTATTAGGTTAAATGCGTTTTTTCGATTGATTGCCTAATAAAAGATTAAACACTTCGAGATCATTTTGCATTTTTTTGCTCTTTGAAAATCGAAACCTTGGTTGTGTTTGCCGTTCTCTTATAAACATTTATTTATTTATTTTTTTTTGGCTATGTTGTTAATGTTAATGGTTTCGTGACGACTTCGGTTTATAGTATAAATCCTTAATACTTTTAATGCATGCAATACACATATATACATTTAACAGTAGCTATTAAATTTCAATTTCGAACTATTATCGACACAATATATGTTCAGTTTGTTAAATGCACTTGCACTTGACTCAAGTAGCTTGATGGGCGACTAGATACGTTTATTCGAGCGTCTAGACAGATGGGAATTTACAAATAATGCTGTGGCTTTTCAACAAATGTTTCTTAAATTTTTTAAATTAATATCATCATAGGTAGCCTGGAGATAGATCTGCAACCTTTCACTCTTCTTTTCCATTTTTTTTTTTTTTCAATTTTGCCGAGCTTTTACATTTCCTAGCCCATGAAAAATAAAATCAATTGGAATTGGAATTGTTAGTTATTTCATCAAATGTGGATGACATAAAGTTGGTCGATCGGTATCGGGTGTAAATGAATCTTTTAACTAAAACTAAGGATTGCTTGTCGTACCACGATTTTTGATCGCTGAGTAAAGCTGTGGAGAGAACATGCTTTCCATTTTAACGTTTGTTGCCGTGAGTAGTGAAGAAACATATATTTAACATGCACACTTGACGGTAAGAATATATACGAATTATTGGATCGATTTAATTTTACGCTAATTACGCTTTTTGTCGTCAAGTATGCGATATATACATACTTTGTAGGGTGCACAATTTTCACTGTTACAAAGCCAAGGAAAATTTGAAGAATGCTTTAGGGTGCATTTGAAAATGTGCAAAACTATAAACTATTTTCCTCTTTTTTACTTCTGCATGTAATCCTAGACACTATCAAAATCATGTCAATAGAAAAGCAATGATATTTAAATGTCATTACCGCGCAATTATCATCTATTTTAATGAATATAAAGTCATTGGAGAGAATTTCATTTAAAGAATAATTAAATATTTTTTTAGAACATATTGACTACTGTGAGTGGTAGACGAATTGTTCTTGCGTAAAAGTCGATCGATTTTTAAAAGCAAACCATTAAGATTTTGGATTTTTACCTTTCCTATGGAAAGCAATCGCAGCAGAGGAAAAGTCGCTTTGAAAACTCTTTTTCTTTCATGTCAGCGAAGGTCTTTTCAAAAACTTGTCCTGTTCGCCGTCAGAACAATCACGGTTTAGATCGCTTTAATTGCCTAACTTTTAAAATATTTTTCATTGGCCAATTATGATGTAAAGAAATCATCAGCTCATCTAAGGCAATTTGCTCTTATCTTCTACATAGAGTATTTTTAATCTATCTAAATCAAACATTGTTCTCAACTGGTTGTTAATTTACTCACTGGTTCAGTTAAAAAATGTCAGATGAAATCTACATAAATGTTAATGTTTCGCGTTAAAGCGATATCAACTTTTTTTAACTAAAAAAACTTTTGAAATTCATGTAACTTGCTTTTAACTTAATAATCTCTCATCTTTCACAAGAGTTCATAGAGTACACATATTCTGGATAATTGACGTAAAGCATATTGAGACGAAATCTTATTCCTTCAGTTAACGTTTGATGGGAATAAGATTAATATTTTCATATGGACTGGTAGGTAATACGCGCTATCACATGAAATGATAATATCGTAAAATCATTCCAGACGTTGAATTCGCGAGAATTCTCCTTTACTTTTATACGCGTACACGTATATGTCATAGTGTATGACATTAAGTATTTAATATGTCTCGTTACTGATTTTTTTAAAAATGAATATATTTTTTTTATAAGCTAAAAATAAATTTTTTATTTTTTATTTAATTATAGAATTTAATTTTTTTACAATCTTTAATAAATCGAACATTTATATTCTGGATCCATTGGTGCATTTGGTTTACATTCGAAAACCCATGAGAATTCTTGAAAATTAGATAATGTACCAATAACTCGATACATGCCGGGTGCGTGTGTATCGGCTGAAGCAACATGCGATTTAAATAGACTTTGAACGTCTTCACACCACACCTGAGCGAAATTAATGAAAAACAATTGACGATTATTGAACTCTAAACCGGGAAGTGTTTCCAACATTTCAATATTAGGCGTATTGGAACGTTGCGAATACAACCAATTCATATAAGCTGAATAAGCCAATTTGACGGCTCCATTATCAGCTATATTTTCCGCTTGTAAAACACTATCCGGTAAACGTTTACCGTCATATTTATAATTATGATATTGAGCTTGAAAGCATTTACGTCGAGCTTCAAATTCGTAAGTGGATTTTTGATCCCACCATTCGCGACTGTTACCGTCTTTATCGAAAGTTCGGCCGTCATCATCGAAACCATGAATCATTTCGTGAGCAATTAAATAGCCTAACGTAGCATATTTAATGGCTTGTGGATAATTTGTGTCCCAGAAGAAACGCGGTTGCAACATCGATACCGGTATTTTAATGCCATTGGTTAAAAAACTATACGCCGGTGTAAAGGATAAAATCTGAGCTTCATCTTTATCCGTATTTAACTCATCTAATTCGAAAATATTATCATCCTTGACTTCATTGCGTAAAATATTTTGTATATTTTGGACATAATTTTTTGAATCGATCTCTAATGAACCATAGAAATCGGTGAAGTTCTCTTCATCGTAAGCATTTATTGATAAATTCATGGCCGCCAATTTTTCTAAAGCATATTCACGCGTACTATTCGATATCCAATCGAGTTTATCGCCCATTAATTCATTTCGAAATGCTTTTTTAATATTATCCCATAGTTCATAAATTTCTTTTTCATCTCTTTCGGAACGATATTGCTCGTAAATGGATCGATCAATATATTTGTTAAAAAATGTTTTAGTTTTATCTGCACAAAAAACATCCGGCTCATCGTCGTTATTATCAATTATATAATCTTGTATTAACATCCATAAAACGTATGTAGTTATTGTACTGTTTTCAGTTTCATTCAATACTTTGACTAAATTCTCCAAATAACTTTCATCATAAACATAAATTGATTGCGGTAATTCGGTTGTATTCAAGCTTATCTCTAAAAATTTCTCAATATCTAAAGTTTTTTCATATTTCTTCTTAAGATCCTGCAAATCGTATTCGGTTACAAGGCTTTCCATTGTTTTGCCGAGTCGTTCATCCGTAGTGCCCTTTTTCAAAGCTCGTTCCAATTTCAACATATCAAGAGCGATTTCCTTAGCCTTCTTCTTATCCAACGCGAATAGCTTTTGTAAATGTGCCCGAGTTAAAATCTCTTGTACGATATTTACGATTTTCGTACTAGATTCAGGTGTGGAATATTCCGGTGCACCGATATAAATTCTCGGTTGTGAATTATTTTTCAAATCACCCATCACATCTGATGATAATATAATTTCCTTACCATAAGTACTTTGTATTTTGGCCACCGTCAACCACCAATTAAATTCCAAATCTTGTTCTTGTTCTTGATCTTGTTCTTGTTCAGCTTTTGTAAGGAAAGGAAACTCACCGAATTCTTGATAAACTTTCTTCAAATTCATTTTATATGTTTCCTGATCGTCCAAGACAATTTTGCAAGAATTATGAAAATCTTTAATTTTATCTAAAATTAAGTTATCACCACGTTTAGGATTATTTAGTAATGCCGCTAATTTACGATCTAAAGCTTTTGAAAGCATTTGAAATTTATCGGTCATTAAATCACCAAATAATTGAGCGGGATTACTATGATGCCAATTACCGCAAGCGTATGTATAAAAATCATTACATGGATTGACTTTCGTATCCAACATTGAACTGATTTCAGCTGCCTTGGCACGTTTTAATATCATTTTTGCAAATTCTGTGCTAAAATCTGATCTAGTCATCGTTGTCTGATTATTGACAGCACGCGTTAACGTTGGCATTGAAAGCGCAAGAATGCCAGCTAAAGCGATAATAACGCTGATAATTTGATGCATATTTCCAAGTGAGAGAAAACAAAACTGTTTCAAATGCTTATTAAAGTTATACTAAAAAATCTGTTTTCCGCAAATAATAATTTTCCGCAAAAATATGATTTTTATACATTTTAATAAATTTCTATTGCAGGCTTCAAGAGTGTGAGAGAGAAAAAGATTCCATTTTAGAAATATAAAGAAATTTTCTTCTTCTTCTTCTTCTAAGCGGGGAGATTCATTTAGATTATTATGTCTATTTTCTCTCTCTTTTTAAGAAGACGTTCTTCTCATAAATAAAGACTTAATAATATACATAGATTTTGCATTGTTTCAATTAAAATACGGGTAATTAGGGTAATTATCAGCGCAATGCATTGAGGCATAATCAAGATGAACTGAATGCCAGTGAGTAATAGAATTTAAAGCATTTTTATATACTGTATTGAAACACATGTGCAAGAAATTTTAATTATTTTTATACTACAGTCTAATAAGTATTTTACTATTTCAAGTGTTATTCGAAAATTGAAAGGTATACTGATTAGGTCAGTCCGTTTGACGGTATCTGGAAATGTGCTTTGAAGACAATATAATTGATATGTAAGGCGTCATTGCTCAGTGAGATCGTAGGATGACACATACAAACTGCTGACGAATTCGTACGATTTTTAAGTATGGCAAAGCCTTAAAAGAATTATGTCAAAATTTCATAAGATTCCGACCAATAGTTTACACAAAGTTCGGATTTTTTCATTGGTTAACAAAAGGAGACGTAACGTTCGAAGATCATACGGATTCGTTAGCATGCACAACATCTATATGTCATCCTATGAACTTATTGAGTGATGTGTGTGTGTGTGTGTGTGTGTGTGTGTGTGTGTGATGTTGAAGGGATTGGTCTTTTATAGGTAACCCTGCATATTGAAACAGTCGTCATATGAAAAAATTTGAATAAGCCTCTGTTGCGTCGGCTTCCTTGCAGAGGTATAACGCAGTTTACAAGCTTGCTTTTAGGATACCGGGTTGGGATTCCTTAGTCTATATGAAAATACTACCAGCGGAGGTTTTCTTCTTAAGTGCCCTGGTATATGCCATAAGTTCTTCAACTTCATGCCTTTCTCTCAATATCGAATCTCTTAAACATCATCAAATCAAGCCTTCTTAATGTATCCGCCTTAGGTACCGCGCACTTAAGTTAACCTTTAATATTTAATGCTGCAACTGATACGCTATTAAACTTAAGATATTTGTTATTACTGGTAGCCAAGCTTTTATATATATCTTAGCTGATTGGCGAGTTAATATTACCGGTCGCTCACTCATAGTTCGTATCCACATCTGTTACGATCCTCCCTTTTGTACTAGATAATCACATGGCTTTCTACTTTCTTGTTTATTAGTTTATATAAGGATTTTTTTCCTTTTATAGATTTCACATGCTTTATAAAAGTTAAGTGCAAAGGATTAGCGTAACGCTCACGGTTACTTATATTGACAAATAACATCAGCTAGATGTAAGAAGAAGCCGGAAAAGTTTATTTATCAAAATTAAATGAACTAACTATCAAATTGTTTAATATTTTCATGTATGGTTAGTTAACTAATTCTGTTTTTGATCAATTTAATTAAATAGTAACTTTTAAGTTTTCCATAATTAAAATGTTTTTTTTTTTTTCGTTTTCTTTTCTTAACCTCTTCAGCGATGAATGTTTTATGATGAGAAAAGAAACGACTTAATTTTTTTATTTTATCACAATTTGTTCATTTCGTATTGAAACGAAAGCAATAAAAATATATATATATGTATAAAAAAAAAAAAAGAGTAGCGTTCACTTTTATGCTACCCACAGAGCGTTAATAGCAATTTATAATTGAAATGGCTTTCGGCGTCATTCATTGCGTCTGTTTTTTCGATAACATTAAACGCTTTCATTACACTTCGAACACTTGTTCCGTAATATATATAACGACTTGGATTGGTCACATTAACTTTTCACATCATCAATGTCTAATATTTCATTTGTTTGACATTTTGTAACAATTATATTTCGCTTTTTCGCCATTTCTATTGCAACTGCTAGGATGAGTCATAAAAGGTACCTGACGCGTTCATTTTCACCTTTCACGAACTTTTCGAACTATAGTTAACTTAGATATTGGTGTTTGCACGCTACAAGTGTGAGATGTGGATAGGTGGCCGTTTAGTATATGTAAAAGTGTAAAGAGATGGATCGCATAAATACGTGACGCCCGAAGTCACGGAAATGATTGGCTTGAAGGCTTGAAGCGAAAACCCAGTAAGCTACTAAACATTTATAAAGTGGTTTCCTAGATTTTAGGCAAAAAATTTCAATCTTAAAAATGATGAAGCTCGTATACGTCCGTCCATCCGTCCCTATTATAGGCAAGCTAGGCGGCTATCTTGACTTGGGAAAGGAACCTCTTTTCCCTTTCCGCAGTTTTCTACAGTCTTCTATCTGACTGATGTCAGTATGGTATAAAATGAGACGGATCTTACGATTTTATTACCTTTTAGTTCCAACAATCCAGTAATCCATGAAACGGTTAAGTCCATAAAAGAAAAGATATTGATAAGTTTCTATGTCATTGTTGTGAAAAAACACACAACAAAAATTGTATTTGTGTAACCTAAGTGACTCGTACAACATCGTGATATAAAATCAGGGAAGGAATTCACCGTGTTATGAGGCGGGCTACTGTAATATGTACTGCAAAGTTAAAATGTATTATTCATTTTTTTTTTTTTTTTTTTTTTTTTTTTTTTTTTGGGGAAAGGGGTAGGAGGGAGGAGAACTTCTGTTCACTGCATTTGAAATTTATTAATCAATGTATAGCATATATGGCATACATAGTGGACAGGCTTAGAGTAAATTTCCGGTTTGTTGATTTAACTGTAAACGTTGTTGAAAGAGAACTCTTAACAAACAAACTAGTTAAGGCAACAATATGACATTTTAATGCTTATGACCTTAAAATTTTTGCTAACAACCGGATATTGGAAAAACGAAGCGGAAATGGATTACATTAAGTACTGGCTGTCTGCATATTTGAATTCAAAGAAATCCAAATTCAAAAGGATATGCATATGCGTTCCTTTGAATTTCGAATATAAATATTAGTAAAAGAGAAAAAAAAAAGAAATGGATAAAAACTTTTATATAATAATATGTTAAATTCATGTAGATTTCTAACAATCTCTATAAGCAAGTGTTGATAATTTTACGTAAGTCTTACAATGTACAATGAAGTGAAAGTGAAAAATATTATTATTTCTTTAAAAAGTTTCATGCAACTGTCCGACATTTTTGCTCTAGACAATGAATGCCAGTTGACAGTGACCTTGAATTTTATTTGCATATAACACAATACTGCACAGTAAAGAAAACATTTCGTAATATTGTACAGATACAAATGTACATATACACCGATAGATATATACATATATTTTTTGCATACATTATATACATACACACAAAATTTATATGAATTGGCCAAATGTGTACCTCCTAATGGTATCTATGCTATACTCGCATTTACAGAACGTTTAACTAAAGCATGCCACAACTTGTTACGAAATGAAGCAAATATAAAATTAACTACAGCTTATATAAAAGTAAATAGATTTACGTAAACGTAAATGTTCCCATGTGTGTGTGTGTGTGTGTGTGTGTGTACGGAAGTATTCAAATAAAACACGTTTTGCGATAGTAGTGCACAAGAAAGAAGTAAAATTTGCAGAATAACAAATATCTTTGCTTAAGGCATTAGTGCCAGCCAGCGCAACGAATACAAAAGAAACATGGGAAAATTCAAAATTTTTGCTTAAACTCAAAAGTGGGTCTTAAGTGAGATAACCTTGAATTTTTACTAGCGTAAAGTTAGCCCAATCTACTCTTTTCATTTACATTAAAGGTTGAAAATTAGTTAGCGAATCATCTTAAATTTTATAGTTTTTTTTTTTATTTTATTTTTTTTTTTTATAATTCCATACAAAATGAGTGCAAAATTTATATTCGCTTTGGGACGGATTTTAAAAGGTCACCAAATACTATTGTGGTTTTTCATCAACAAAACGCCTCGGAGGTCTTCCTTTTTTTGGTCGTCACTAGCAGTTGTAGCATAGCTATTTTAATCTGTCATCTGTTTGCCGGATATTTTGCGGTCGACAATTTGCGACGAAAAGTTGAAGAAGCACATGTGTGATCGCCTAGTAATAGCTAAGAAATAGAGAGCTTAATATAGAGAGCTAAAAAAAACAAGTGATGTTAATCCAAAATCTGATGAAAATAGTTTCACAAATTCACAGCAAAAACAGAAAAGTCAAGAAAAGTCTCCGTCACTGACTAGAAGCTATAATTTGTCTTATTTACAGCCCTACCTAAAAGGTTAACGTAACAGGAAGCTTGATGCAAAAAAAGAATCGATCTATAAAGTTTTTTTTTATATATTAATAGGCAGAGTTAGATAGATACTGGAAGTTCGTCTGAGGCATAAGTGGCTTTCTCCGTGATCGATATGTCGACGACATCCCACTCTTTCATCTTATCTCCAGAAAAAAGTAATCATTTTGTTAATAAACTGCGTGTTAAGTCGACAATGCTTGAGGATACAATCGCATTACATGTATTTCCGGCTTTAAGACGCCTGCGTGCTCACAAAGTTTTGCGGAAAGAATGTTCACCTTTTTATTGTAACGGTATAGGGACTTTGTTTTAAAATTGTGTCGTGCTTTGGGTCATTCATCATCTATAATAACGTGTCGTAAGTGACTATTGCTCTGTTAATATTATCTTGTACGAGCGCAGGGCGTGTGGCTTATTGCAATTAAGCAAATTGAACGATCAAAAAATAAGTAAAAAAACGGATAGCTATGCTACGAAAGGATCCATGATTTTGACGATTATTTATTCGAAAGTTTTTATACCCTCTCTCGCAATCACTTTCGAGTTAACATTATATTATTATTATTTAATATTTTTTTATTATTTGAAAGCTTTTTCCAATAGTAAGCAAGCGCCAATGCCAGTCCATGTCCGTTTTCAAACCCAATATTTGCTTTTAAA